CCTTTCCATCAGTTCATATGGAATATCTATTCATTTAAAAAAAAATTAAATACCAATGATCAAATTTTGAGAAAAGGTATTTCATAATGATAATGCATGATAATCATTACACTTTTAAAAGAATAAGAATTTAACGAGTAGTGAACTTTTTCAATTACAAGAATCGTAACTCTATGCATTTATTTCGTAAAAATAACAGTGATCACAATATTTATGGTCAATGTGGTTCATAAAATATCAAATTCGAATATTTTAATGAAAAATGTTATTTTAATACAATACATAAAACTTGAAAGTTAGTGGTTCCAGGTCTGTCACAGCATCACATTGAAAACAATGAATTGTTAATTCTCAAAATCGAACATTTTTGCTACCGTATCGTACTTCTTCGAAATAAATTGCCTAGCCTTGCTGATCAACGTATACACTTGCATAAATGAATTAAGTATATCTGTTAAATTAAATAATGAGGCTAATTATGTCAGTATCACCGAAGAATTTACGTATAAATTGTGTATAATCTATACAAAAAATTATCATTGTATACATCTTAAACACAATTGACAAATTATTCAAGCCAAGTAAAAAAAGAAAGTCCAATAGCTATTGTTTTCCGTAGATTGCCAAGAAGGGTATTACAAACATAATAACCATTGTGAAAAATGTGGACATTGCAAAGAAAATTCACCGTGTAACAAGGAAACTGGCCACTGCACTGAATGCCAACCAAATTGGAAACCTCCAAAATGTAATGGTAAGCTATATAATTCTAGATTTTGGACAAATATATGTCACGTTTTATAGCAAATATTATAATTTTGAAGAATATTCATGTACCTATTTATTATAAGTTGAAATAAGACAGCAGTTTTAAATAAGCTCATCAATATTAGAAGAATTTATATTATACAAGTTGACTCCTCAATAATTTTCTTCGACAATTTGGTAAATTAGACTGAAAAATAGATCTTTCTGAAATTATTAACTATGCATGATTCCCGTGAGTTTGTCATCGATGCATCTTTAGGTTACGATTAGATTTCTTATTTAGACTTGTAATGTGGCAGTCACGTGATTTTAGCAAATATACATGCAGTATTGAGGTCATCTATAAATTCCAATATTGCAAGGGCATAACCAAGTTAAAAATCTAAATTTAATTTATAATTCTTTTCAACACTCTTTGTAGTTTGTGAAAAGTGCTGAGGAACCAACATATATTCTACTATCTAATTGCTAAAATTACATTTGTTAGACCGCAAGTTGAATATTTTGCTGGTCAATTACATTTAATATACATATAATTAATAGCGATTCTCTGTAACTACTTAAACTTCTTTGCCACGCATGGTCACCGATTTTGATGAAACTTTGCCCATTATTACAACTTGACACCAGAAACATACATCACATAAAATTTTGTTGCTATGTGTCTTGGTTGCCATGGTAACAACCAGAAAAGGTGGGAAAATTGAGATTTTCAGCTACTTTGAAGCTTTATGAAGCCTTAATAAAGACGAAGAAAAACAAACAAACCATGCTCACAAAAACATGACACCTTGTTGCCACTTATGTATTAAAGAAACTATTTAGAATTTATCTGTAAGTAAGTGGTAACCATAGGTACATTTGGAATACATTTTAGATGCTGAAAAATGCTGAAAAACGCTCAATATTCAATAATGATAGGTGTTACATGATCAAACTCAATCAACAAGCTAAGGAAAACAGTAAAAATATTTGACCCTAAGTAATTAGATATTGGCAATATTATTCTAAAAATACCATTCATTGTTTTCATGGTAACACAGTGTAACCATGCAAAATCTGTTGCTAAGATTGGGTTAATGCTACTATCTGGAGGAAAATCAATAAAATTCATGACTGGCACATATACATCCTTAGGACCTTGCAACACCCATAAGTAAAATTGGGATTAATTGTTACTTTGCAGTGTAACCATGGAAACAACGTACCAGTTGTTTAAAGTGATATTTGTTTGCTGCCTTGGGAATTTACTTACCTTTTAATCAAGAAACATATTATTTGACTCACCTTGAATAGTATTTATCTGGTAGAACTAAAGTTAAATATCACATATTGATAAAGTTTGTTGTAAATTACAACACTGTTCTATGGTTACCAAGAAGTGAAAAATGTTCGATTTTGTTAATTTTATATCAATATTAAACCCTATGTGCCAGTTTTTTGCATCCAGTTAGAGATTGGGTGGTAGTCAAAATTGAAAGTCATGTTAGTTGTTCATAAATATCAATCATAAAAGTTTTGGGAATATACATACAAGGGCACGTATCCAAGGAAACAGAATATTTTTCAGATTTTTATGCATATTTTTTCGGCTAATGTCCATAGCAACGGTCTATTTAAAGAATTGAATTTGAATTTTTTGAAATGTGAAAATTAGGGTCACACCAACGCCTTTAAAAATTTATCAGCAGATGTATAGAAATACTCTTTTTAAAAAGATAGGAGAAAATTAAAACACTAAGAGAGTAAATTTAAAATCCCTTTGTGGTATTAAAACCATGGCAACCATTGCCAACCTATAACAAAAATCATATTTCGTCCTTGGTATATGTTGCAAGGATCTTTTGTCTATTATTTGCTTGCATTTCAACATATAATTATTTTTATTCTTAAGTGTATGACTTTTTAAAATTAAATGAACAAAATTATTGCTTTTGAATACTTTGTTTCCATAGTAACGTATGTAAGAGTTGATTTACCAAACATGTTTATCGCGCATTTAAGACATCAGGCCTTCAACTTTCAGAAACAGTCATTGCCACTTGTCTGCTCTGCTGCAAACGTTAATTGTGGGACTCTGAACATGTTGAAAAATGCCATTTTTTTAAACTTTAGGACATGTTGCTATGGTAACCATGACACATAGCAACCAATTTTTGCCTGATTTGAGTTTATGGTATCAAAGACTCTTATAGAGAGTTTGGAAAAATTCTGAGACTATGCGTGCCACAGCTCCTATATAAAAGTTCAAGTCATTACAGAGAATGGCTCTTAATTCAGCTTCAAGATTTCATCAGCTTCGTAGCACTTTTCAAATATCTTCATACTTCTTGAGTTTATGCGTAAAAGCTTGTCCATTGAGGGTATGCCCTTGCAATATATCGATTTATTAAGACCCTTCTACTACCCTTCAATGAATCTGCTTACAAATATACGACAATATCACTTGTCCTGGGAATGTATGGAAAGTATATGAATAAAATCATCAAATAAACATGGCCTCTAAAATATCTGCGAATAATACTTTATTTGATTACAAAGTACAGTTTTCATTGTATAAAATATAACTTGATCCGCCTCTTAATTGCCTACATACTGCGTCAAATTTTACGATATGACGTCACATTGACAAGTGCATTGCGATCAGTGAATTGTTTATATTTTGCTGTGTGGGATATAACCAAGGACAAATATGCATAGCAAACCGCACACGGAGAACTGATGTTTTTGCATGATGTCATAATAAACATTCCCCTTATAAATAAGACCCGCCTCCTTTTTGTAGTCTTAACTGTGCTGCATTTTCTTCCAAATTTTAGAAATACATTTTATCCCCCAAACAAGACCAAAGGATCCAGGAAGTAAAGAAGTATAATAAATGTTTTAATTAAAAACAGACAAATATGTTAAATTTGAATACATTGTACAAAGTGTTACTACAAATCCCTTTGTTAAATTGAAAAATTCATAAACGACGTTTTATATCTCAAAATTCAAAATTTTAGAATGTGTAGCCGGGTTTTATGACCAGAACTGCAGTAAACAATGTGGACATTGCCTCCAAGGTTTTTGTAACAAAGAAAATGGGATTTGCGATGATGGATGTGTTTCAAACTGGAAAAGACCTTTTTGCAAAGGTAAAGTTTGTTTTCCTCTTGCTTTGCCAACTGTAATACAGTAATATGTTTATTTTGCTTATTAATCGAAACCCATTGGTTATATAACGACTTAATTGTCGACCATGCGAAGAGAAAAATAATTCCTCTGAGCCGATTTTAGTTGGAAATGTTTTTTTTTTTCATTATACATTAAAATAACTGCTTAACTGCCGCAAGTAGTTAGAAAGACTGCAATATGAAATCATCAACATTGTCAATATCTATTATCTTTTACGATAGAAAGTTTACAATATACTGCTTTTTATTGTCGTAAACTGATAGTGATGTCTACATGATTGAGTAAGAAATAATATCTTTTTCCAATCATATGCAATTCAAACTGATATGTTTACACGTGTGCATGTACTAGTATCATCGCCTTACATGTATAAGTTTACTCCCCTGCTATGTTACAATATAAAGAAAAGTTTTACTAACATTTTTCTATCAAATCACTCTCATACTTCAAAAATGTACCCCGTCGCCCGCGTGGCACAGTGGTTAGAAGGTCGACCCTAGAGTCGGGAGGTAAGAAGTTGATCCTTACGTCGCAAGTTCGAATCCCACTGTACGTGGGACGTGGAGACCGGTCCTTCGGATGAGACCGTATAAACCGAGGTCATGTGTCGCAGTAGGTGTTGGCACGAAAAAGATCCCTCACTGCTCAATGGCCGTAAGTGCCGAGCATAGGACAAAATTTGCAGCTCTCCACCGATTATTGGTGGCGTCTCCATACGAGTGAAAAATTCTCGAGAGGGACTTTAAACAACATACAAACAAACAAACACACAAAAATATTCCCCCAAAATACAAACCATATCGATATATCGAAAAAAAAAAAAAAGCCACGAAAAAGCTAAATGTCTACACTTTTTATGAATTAAAACACTTTTTAATAGGGCAATTTCATGGTTCTTGGCTCTTGTTCTTTATTTTTAAAAATATTTTACAATTATTGCTGTTTTGGAGGGCAAAAAAATAAAAGCCACTTTATTTATGAGAAAAGAGAGGGCATTAATATTGGTATTCCAGTCGACATTTCCCATAAGCTTTTAAAATATTTATCAATTATAGAATGCGCTGATGGTTACTATGACCAGAATTGTAGTACCCAGTGTGGAAATTGTCGAGAAGGATTTTGTGATAAGAAAAATGGAAGCTGTCTATCGGGTTGCAAACTGAACTGGAAAGAACCTTTATGTCAAGGTAGACATTGAACATTTTAGTATTTCATATACCATTTGCTTGTATTTATCAAAGTTATCTAGTCTGTTTTTGTATATTTCGATGATTGGTTTAAATAATTAAAGAAAATGATTATTTTTACTGCAAGAAGTTTTCCACCAGCAAATTTAAAAACAACCCATCTCAATTATAGAGTGTGTTGATGGTTATTATGACCAGAATTGTACCACCAGATGTGGAAATTGTCGAGAGGGATTTTGTGATAAAACAAATGGAAGCTGTCTAGCTGGTTGTAAACTAAACTGGAAGGGACCTTTATGTCAAGGTAGACATTTCAACACTCGCAGCCGGCTATTTACTATCGTAAATTTCTTACGTATTAATAGTGATTCTCTATAACCACTTAAACTTCTTTGCCACGCATGGTCACCGATTTTGATGAAACTTTGCACATTATTACAACTTGACACGAGAAACATAAATTAAATGAAATTTCGTTGCTATGTGTCTTGGTTGCCATGGTAACAGCCAGAAAAGTTGGAAAAATTGAGATTTTCAGCTAATTTGAATCTTTATTAAGCCTTAATAAAGACTTAGAGAAACAAACAAACCATGCTCACAAAAACATGACACCTTGTTGCCACTTATGCTATAAAGAAACTATTTAGAATTTATCTCTAATTAAGTAAGTAGTAACCATTGGTACATTTGGAATACATTTTAGATGCTGAAAAATGCTGCAAAACGCTCAATATTCACTAATGATAGGTTTTACATGAACAAACTCAATCAACAACCTAAGAAAAACAATAAAAATATTTGACATTTAGTTATTAGGTACTGGCAATATTATTCCAAAAATAACTTACATGGTTGCCATGGTAACACAGTGTAACCATGCAAAATCCGTTGCTAAGATTGGGTTAATGCTAATATCTTGAAGAGAAACAATAAAATTCATGACTGGCACATATATATCCTTAGGACCTTGCAACACCGACAATATAAGATAAATTGGGATTAATTGTTATTTTGCAGTGTAACCATGGAAACAACATACCAGTTATTTAAAGTGATATTTGTTTGCTGCCTTGGGAATTTACTTACCTTTTAATCAAGAAACATATTATTTGACTCACCTTGAATAGTATTTATCTGGTAGAACTAAAGTTAAATATCACATATTGATAAAGTTTGTTGTAAATTACAACACTGTTCTATGGTTACCAAGAAGTGAAAAATGTTCGATTTTGTTAATTTTATATCAATATTAAACCCTATGTGCCAGTTTTTTGCATCCAGTTAGAGATTGGGTGGTAGTCAAAATTGAAAGTCATGTTAGTTGTTCATAAATATCAATCATAAAAGTTTTGGGAATATACATACAAGGGCACGTATCCAAGGAAACAGAATATTTTTCAGATTTTTTTGCATATTTTTTCGGCTAATTTCCATAGCAACGGTCTATTTAAAGAATTGAATTTGAATTTTTTGAAATGTGAAAATTAGGGTCACACCAACGCCTTTAAAAATTTATCAGCAGATGTATAGAAATACTCTTTTTAAAAAGATAGGAGAAAATTAAAACACTAAGAGAGTAAATTTAAAATCCCTTTGTGGTATTAAAACCATGGCAACCATTGCCAACCTATAACAAAAATCATATTTCGTCCTTGGTATATGTTGCAAGGATCTTTTGTCTATTATTTGCTTGCATTTCAACATATAATTATTTTTATTCTTAAGTGTATGACTTTTTAAAATTAAATGAACAAAATTATTGCTTTTGAATACTTTGTTTCCATAGTAACGTATGTAAGAGTTGATTTACCAAACATGTTTATCGCGCATTTAAGACATCAGGCCTTCAACTTTCAGAAACAGTCATTGCCACTTGTCTGCTCTGCTGCAAACGTTAATTGTGGGACTCTGAACATGTTGAAAAATGCCATTTTTTTAAACTTTAGGACATGTTGCTATGGTAACCATGACACATAGCAACCAATTTTTGCCTGATTTGAGTTTATGGTATCAAAGACTCTTATAGAGAGTTTGGAAAAATTCTGAAACTATGCGTGCCACAGCTCCTATATAAAAGTTCAAGTCATTACAGAGAATGGCTCTTAATTCAGCTTCAAGATTTCATCAGCTTCGTAGCACTTTTCAAATATCTTCATACTTCTTGAGTTTATGCGTAAAAGCTTGTCCATTGAGGGTATGCCCTTGCAATATATCGATTTATTAAGACCCTTCTACTACCCTTCAATGAATCTGCTTACAAATATACGACAATATCACTTGTCCTGGGAATGTATGGAAAGTATATGAATAAAATCATCAAATAAACATGGCCTCTAAAATATCTGCGAATAATACTTTATTTGATTACAAAGTACAGTTTTCATTGTATAAAATATAACTTGATCCGCCTCTTAATTGCCTACATACTGCGTCAAATTTTACGATATGACGTCACATTGACAAGTGCATTGCGATCAGTGAATTGTTTATATTTTGCTGTGTGGGATATAACCAAGGACAAATATGCATAGCAAACCGCACACGGAGAACTGATGTTTTTGCATGATGTCATAATAAACATTCCCCTTATAAATAAGACCCGCCTCCTTTTTGTAGTCTTAACTGTGCTGCATTTTCTTCCAAATTTTAGAAATACATTTTATCCCCCAAACAAGACCAAAGGATCCAGGAAGTAAAGAAGTATAATAAATGTTTTAATTAAAAACAGACAAATATGTTAAATTTGAATACATTGTACAAAGTGTTACTACAAATCCCTTTGTTAAATTGAAAAATTCGTAAAACGACGTTTTATATCTCAAAATTCAAAATTTTAGAATGTGTAGCCGGGTTTTATGACCAGAACTGCAGTAAACAATGTGGACATTGCCTCCAAGGTTTTTGTAACAAAGAAAATGGGATTTGCGATGATGGATGTGTTTCAAACTGGAAAAGACCTTTTTGCAAAGGTAAAGTTTGTTTTCCTCTTGCTTTGCCAATTGTAATACAGTAATATGTTTATTTTGCTTATTAATCGAAACCCATTGGTTATATAACGACTTAATTGTCGACCATGCGAAGAGAAAAATAATTCCTCTGAGCCGATTTTAGTTGGAAATGTTTTTTTTTTTTCATTATACATTAAAATAACTGCTTAACTGCCGCAAGTAGTTAGAAAGACTGCAATATGAAATCATCAACATTGTCAATATCTATTATCTTTTACGATAGAAAGTTTACAATATACTGCTTTTTATTGTCGTAAACTGATAGTGATGTCTACATGATTGAGTAAGAAATAATATCTTTTTCCAATCATATGCAATTCAAACTGATATGTTTACACGTGTGCATGTACTAGTATCATCGCCTTACATGTATAAGTTTACTCCCCTGCTATGTTACAATATGAAGAAAAGTTTTACTAACATTTTTCTATCAAATCACTCTCATACTTCAAAAATGTACCCCGTCGCCCGCGTGGCACAGTGGTTAGAAGGTCGACCCTAGAGTCGGGAGGTAAGAAGTTGATCCTTACGTCGCAAGTTCGAATCCCACTGTACGTGGGACGTGGAGACCGGTCCTTCGGATGAGACCGTATAAACCGAGGTCATGTGTCGCAGTAGGTGTTGGCACGAAAAAGATCCCTCACTGCTCAATGGCCGTAAGTGCCGAGCCTAGGACAAAATTTGCAGCTCTCCACCGATTATTGGTGGCGTCTCCATACGAGTGAAAAATTCTCGAGAGGGACTTTAAACAACATACAAACAAACAAACACACAAAAATATTCCCCCAAAATACAAACCATATCGATATATCGAAAAAAAAAGCCACGAAAAAGCTAAATGTCTACACTTTTTATGAATTAAAACACTTTTTAATAGGGCAATTTCATGGTTCTTGGCTCTTGTTCTTTATTTTTAAAAATATTTTACAATTATTGCTGTTTTGGAGGGCAAAAAAATAAAAGCCACTTTATTTATGAGAAAAGAGAGGGCATTAATATTGGTATTCCAGTCGACATTTCCCATAAGCTTTTAAAATATTTATCAATTATAGAATGCGCTGATGGTTACTATGACCAGAATTGTAGTACCCAGTGTGGAAATTGTCGAGAAGGATTTTGTGATAAGAAAAATGGAAGCTGTCTATCGGGTTGCAAACTGAACTGGAAAGAACCTTTATGTCAAGGTAGACATTGAACATTTTAGTATTTCATATACCATTTGCTTGTATTTATCAAAGTTATCTAGTCTGTTTTTGTATATTTCGATGATTGGTTTAAATAATTAAAGAAAATGATTATTTTTACTGCAAGAAGTTTTCCACCAGCAAATTTAAAAACAACCCATCTCAATTATAGAGTGTGTTGATGGTTATTATGACCAGAATTGTACCACCAGATGTGGAAATTGTCGAGAGGGATTTTGTGATAAAACAAATGGAAGCTGTCTAGCTGGTTGTAAACTAAACTGGAAGGAACCTTTATGTCAAGGTAGACATTTCAACACTCGCAGCCGGCTATTTACTATCGTAAATTTCTTACGTATTAATAGTGATTCTCTATAACCACTTAAACTTCTTTGCCACGCATGGTCACCGATTTTGATGAAACTTTGCACATTATTACAATTTGACACGAGAAACATAAATTAAATGAAATTTCGTTGCTATGTGTCTTGGTTGCCATGGTAACAGCCAGAAAAGTTGGAAAAATTGAGATTTTCAGCTAATTTGAATCTTTATTAAGCCTTAATAAAGACTTAGAGAAACAAACAAACCATGCTCACAAAAACATGACACCTTGTTGCCACTTATGCTATAAAGAAACTATTTAGAATTTATCTCTAATTAAGTAAGTAGTAACCATTGGTACATTTGGAATACATTTTAGATGCTGAAAAATGCTGCAAAACGCTCAATATTCACTAATGATAGGTTTTACATGAACAAACTCAATCAACAACCTAAGAAAAACAATAAAAATATTTGACATTTAGTAATTAGGTACTGGCAATATTATTCCAAAAATAACTTACATGGTTGCCATGGTAACACAGTGTAACCATGCAAAATCCGTTGCTAAGATTGGGTTAATGCTAATATCTTGAAGAGAAACAATAAAATTCATGACTGGCACATATATATCCTTAGGACCTTGCAACACCGACAATATAAGATAAATTGGGATTAATTGTTATTTTGCAGTGGAACCATGGAAACAACATACCAGTTATTTAAAGTGATATTTGTTTGCTGCCTTGGGAATTTCCTTACCTTTTAATCAAGAAACATATTATTTGACTCACCTTGAATAGTATTTATCTTGTAGAACTAAAGTTGAATATTATATATTGATAAAGTTTGTTGAAAAATACAACATTGTTGCTATGGTTACCAAGAGGTGAAAATGTTCGATTTTGTTAAATTTTATATCAATATTTAATCCTATGTGCCAGCTTTTTGCATTAGAGATTGGGTGGTAGTCAAAATTGAAAGTCATGTTAGTTGTTCATAAATATCAATCATAAAAATTTTGGGAATCTACATATAAGGGTATGTATCCAAGGAAACAGAATATTTTTCAGATTTTTATGCATATTTTTTCGGCTAATTTCCATAGCAACGGTCTATTTAAAGAATTGAATTTAATTTTTTTGAAATGTGAAAATTAGGGTCACACTAACGCCTTTAAAAATTGATCATCAGTTATTTAGAAATATGCTTTTTAAAAAGATAGGAGAAAATTAAAACACTAAGAGAGTAAATTTGAAATCCCTTCGTGGTATTAAAACCATGGCAACCTATTAGAAATATCATATTTCGTCCTTGGTATATGTTACAAGGATCTTTTGTCTATTATTTGCTTGCATTTCAACATATAATTGTTTTTATTCTTATAATTACTTTTGAATACTTTGTTTCCATAGTAATGTATGCAATATTTGACTTACCAAACACGTTTATCATAAATTTAAGACATCAGGCCTTCAACTTTCAGACACAGTCATTGTCACGTGTTCGCTTTGCTGCAAACGTTAACTGTGGGACTCTGAACATGTTGAAAAATGCCATTTTTCAAACTTTAAGACATGTTGCTATGGTAACCATAACACGTGGCAACCAGTTTTTGCCTGATTTGAATTTATGGTATCAAAGACTTTTATCATAGAAAGTTTGGAGAATTCTGAGACTATGCGTGCCACATGTCTTATATAAAAGTTCAAGTCATTACAGAGAATGGCTCTTAAATTCTATAAATTTGTATATACATCATTCTGTGATCCCCTTGCAGTCTTATCTGAAATCTTAAAGAGAGAATATATACCAATGTTTTTTTTTATAAGTAGCGCTACTGTAACATGATATATGTTTAAGAATTCTGCACTAGATTGTTGCAATGTTGGCGTTATCAACTGCCAGATCGTTCCCATCCTCGAAAGCTTTTGAAGCACTGATTTTTGCCTCAAATTTCATAGAACAGCATTTTAAATTTGAGTTGTCCTGCATTATCACAGAAAAAATAAATTGAGGAGTATTCAAGAACGATTTCTGTATTTACACAACCACAATTCAGATCAGCATGAAATTTGGCAAACATATAGTAATACACATGTTTTATAAATAACATATGTTAAATAATGTTTTGCTCTTTGTTTGTGACGTCACAATTTGAAAATGACGTCAATATGTAGGTGACTTGTGACAAAAAAGATTGACTCAGTCGTACTCGAGCAACGAACGGCTGTAAAATTTAACGTGCATCTTGTAAATTCCTTTCAGTAGCATATAATAATTAGTACAAAATTTATGAAGACAAAAGACTTGTCAGAAGTTAAATCATTAGTTGGATTAATTGTTTAAGTGAAGGAAGGGAGATGGTTAAAATGATGTTTGTCCTGTCGCCCAGTAAAAGCAAGCTGGGGAAGAGATGTGTCCTTAGCTGAGCAATTTGTTCTGAAAGATCACCAAGTTACAGTTAGAAAAATAGTTGAATATCTTAACAATAATATTATCATTAAATATATCAATAATATCGCTTACTTTACTCTTTAAACATATCAAATATAATAAAAAGAAGGTATCCAAACTTTATCCATATTGGATAATCAATGCTCCAAGGACAGAGGACTAGGGTTGTGATGATCACCATGCTAATTCTGAGAAAGGATATCCCATCCTATTGCCTAGAATTGGATATTTCTGACAAACAGACCGTGTTATAAAAAAAAGTTATTTGCATGGTAAAAAATACTAGTACAAGACTCGGAAAAATCGTTTATTTTCTGTGAACAGAACGCTACGGAGCAAGTCACGTGACTGCCTGTATCACGTGATTTGCACAATGGCAGAACGGTGGCATATGTGCATTAAAATCGGAGAGGACTACTTTAAAAATAATAAACAATGAAATCTAATTTCATTTCTTTTGTGGAAGTAATTCAATTAGTTCGCGAACTTTTTGATAACCCCGTGTAATTCAACATTTCTGTATACTAACTCAAACAGAGTTACCAGCTCAATCTTTTTAAAATAGCTCCCATCGAAATATGACAACTTTTATATTTTCTTCGGAATATCCATTTACGTAGCAAGCGAAGCTTATAAGCTTTCAAATGACGCTTGGATAGTTCCAATTATCTTTAAAGACTATTTATTGCTCTGCAATTAATGTAGATATTAACAAATTATAAAAAGAAAAATATTTTGGACATGTGTGTGCTTTGCGGAATTGCATCATTTTAGGGAAAAAATAATTGATTGAACCTATAGAAAAGCAAAGACATTTTTGTAAAATAGATGAAAGTTAATACATATTTTTTTTCTTCAAAAATCACTTTCATTCTTACCTTTTTATCAAATATCCAATTCAGAATGTGTTGATGGATATTATGACGAAAACTGCGATCAAAAATGTGGACATTGCCTTCAGGGAGTTTGTGACAAGACAAATGGAACTTGCATGAGTGGATGCTCACCAAACTGGCAGGAACCTTTATGCCAAGGCAAGATTTCATTCTCTTTTTCCGCATTTCTTACCTAACATAAGAATGGTAGTGTCTTTTAGTTATTGCAAAAAGTAAACTTACGTTTGACCTTAAAGTAAGTAATCTTGCTTGAAACTTGTCGCTTCATGAACTGGGTTCTAGAGTATAGTAAAGGCAACTCATTAGGATATGTAGTAATGAGGTCATAATGAGTTGTAACGTCATAACATTTGCTCCACTCTGATCGATCTATATTAGGAAATATAGCTATTTAATATCAATAATAAGAATCTGTGAAGTTGAAGTGCAATGCAGCATAACAAGAGGAATGTATGTACGTGAACTTATTTATTTTACTGCATAGTTCTAGAGAAATGATGTGCATTTCTCTGTAAATCATTAGATAATTTATAATATTCAATGACGTAGCAAATACCCTATTTTTGTACCGTTTTTTTGCTTTTGCTTTTTTTTCCACATAATAACGAAGTTATATCAGAAATCTGACTGTATTAGCATAAGTTTTGATTAATTGATTGATTGATTGTATGTTGTTTTACGTCCGGTTAGAGAATTTTTCACTCAAATAGAGACATCACCATATACCGGTGAAGGGTTAAAACCTCAGATCTTTACTGGGCACTCAGGGCCATTGAGCAGTGAGGGTTATTTATCGTGCCAACGCCAACCGTGACACGGGACCTCGATTTTTAAGGTCTCATCCGAAGGACCCGCAGCTTTCACTTCAGAGTGCCGAGTGCTTGGCGAAGGAACAGTTGCTATCTATTTTTTATCAACTTAGGTCAGTCGCGGCCGTGATTCGAACACACGGCCTTCCGATCACGGAGCGAGCGCTCTATCGACTGAGCTGCCGTGATAGTCATTGTTTTTGATATGGTATAGATACCGAGGGACACACTTAAACATTGTGTAGTTTAATTATACTTTGCCTGTGAACTTTTTGGCTAAATTTTATATTTCGTGTTTTAAGTTAAAATTGGGTTACATGATGACAAAAATTGCTGATATAAAAAAGAGAATAACTCTTCAAAAAGACACTTAGAAATTACAAGTAGAATGTCGTCTAGAAAAAAAAAAAGATCGTTGCACCTCCAAAGTCTATTGGTTGGCTTCTCTTAATAGAAAATGGACTGAGTCTATTATCTTTTCCGCCAGTGCTTTTACCCCAGTAGGATTCAATTACAAGGCGCCCAGCACAAGAGGTGTGTCACACGTCATTCGGATGAGACATTTCAAAATCCTGGTCCTTTGTCACGGTAGGCGTTAAAAAGATAGTTATCCTTCACTTTTAAAGATGTTAGCACCATGATTAGATTAAAATATCCACGCTTCACTTAAAAGCAGGTGTCGTCTCTTTATGAGTGAAAAAAAAATTGAATGTGAAGCTGAACAAAATACATGAACAATTAATCAAGCCTAACTATATCTTCTGAATGAAATAGACAAAAAAAAAAAAAAGCTTTTATCGACTAGTTCGGAACAACAAACTGTACAGATGAAGTTACTTTTACATCTTTTAGAATGTATTGACGGATTTTATGACCAGAATTGCAGTACTATGTGTGGTGAATGTCGTGAGGGATTTTGTGACAAAAAAAACGGAAATTGCTTGAATGGTTGCAAAACAAACTGGAAAGAACCTTTATGTCAAGGTAGAAATACAACGTAAGACTGTTTAACCATGAATATTCTAAGCATTTGTCTTATCAATGGAGATTAAAACTCTATCAAAGTAATGCTTCAATATCAGAAAAATCAGTATAGCAGTGGTTTAAGTACCGGTAAACAATGCGTGTTTTATTGTTGACTTTGTCAGTAGTAAATACAGATCTGTCCAGTAATGTGGTTTTATATCGTGTAACTTGAATTTATATTAGGAATATCTATTACCTCCAAGAGTTCTTTTTCTGCGGTGTCTTTACCACCCTTTATAGGCAACCCGGATACAAACTGTGGATTGTTTATTTCATTCAAATGAAGAAGCTTAAATTAATGAAAAACTTATTTTGTCCTTTTTGTGACTTTGCTACAATTTTTTTCTACAATATTTATGACTTGTAGCAGGCACTTTTTTCTGTAATAAGTTTTTAACCCATAGTAAAATAATGCTATTTTTATGCTATGGGGTTAAAAAAATATCACAAAAACAAGTGCCTGTGCTTTGTATTTGGTGCTAGATAAATGAAGACCTTCAAGGTCCTTAAAAATTAACAAACATTTCATTTGTTAAAAGTAAATATTTCTTCAACATATAACTAACAATGTGCATCTACATGTCAGTAGTAATTGGCCTTAAAAAGTATATAAGTCTCATTACAAATATGTTTTTCAAACAGAAAGCGTCATAGTACGATTTTAGGAGTACATAATCAGACTAAACATTTTGGCGATCGGCAACTCTTAATGTACGATCCAACGAATAGAGTAACAAGGTAGATAAATAACGGACAAGGTTACTACTGCATAAGGTATATTAAGATTTTTCACAATTACATTGGAAAGGTTTGGAACCTTTTAAGCAAAGAGAACCATTAATTTTGATACTTATCTAATTCATTTGGAATGCCTCGCCTAGCTGTTAGGAAATAAACTAATCTATTACTTCTAGCTAAGCTACGTTTGGAGGAAATCAAGATCTAAGGGGTATTTGCGGGGGGGGGGGGAGTGAGGGGCCTTACCCCAATTTCGATCGAAAGGATATTTTGCCTGCCCTCTGAATGTTAATACCTCCCACAGTAGTTTCTTGCAGAAATAAGAGCCATAATTGCTCAAAGGACGTAAGCAGTCTTTTCCGGCAATTGTTGATGTTCTAATTCGAGTGAAACATTTTCGAAGGGACCAAAAAAGAAGTCTAAAAAATTTGAAATTTGATTAAAAAAAAAATTAAATTCAATGTTTCTTTTCTTGAATTATTTCTTTGTTTTCAACATTTAAACAATTCTGCAACCCCAGCCTTTCGCCGATATACACCCCCGAACTTGTTGGGAGTCCCCCACCCCTTCCCTCCCTCCACACAAATTATATTTCTTAGACTATTTAATCATGAATACCATACGATTTTTTGGCTTTCCCTCCAGCGAAAGTTGAAACCATGCCGGACATCCTTTAAATTTCAAAACACCAGTACCTAGAGAAATTATAGTTTTCCCGTGTTTTAGGAAAAATATCACTGGAAAAAAATCCCACTAGATTTTTTACGGATTGCTTTTATCGTTCAGACAAGGATTGAAAATATTGATGAAATTGCATAGTTTCAAATCAGAATGCATTGTTTACATTTTCTAGAGATCAAGACAAATGAAAAATCTGTTTAAAATTTTTTTCTTATAATTTTCGGTAATAAATTGGTTAAATAATAGATAGAGGCCAAAATAGCGCGAAACTCAGAATTATGACGGAACGTCATAGTCATGCAATTTTACTTGTGACGTAATTACTTAACGGTAGGCCCAAAATAGGCCCATGAAACTTAACGCAGGTTTTGCAAATAGGCTCGAAATAGACCCGCGGCACAAAGAATGTTAAAACGGGATAGTAAGAGGTCTGTCTCATGCAACACTTTAATGTTTGATTTTTTGATTTTCATTCTACTAAATTCAGAAATTTAAGAAAAATGAATGACATTGATGATTTGATTTCATAAGGCTTTTTCAGTAACTTAACATTGAATGATTAATTTAAGAATGTAGTGACGGAATGTATGACCACAAGTGCAGCACCATGTGTGGGAATTGTAGTGTAGGATTTTGTGACAAGAAAAATGGAAGCTGTCTATCTGGTTGCAAACTGAACTGGCAAGAACCTTTATGTCAAGGTAGACATTTGAACTATCAAGGCATTTTATTCTATAAATTTATAAACACAATAATTTTCTAGCCTTCTTTATTCTTAAATTTGTAAATAATCAAGTTAAAGGCCCTCTTCCACTCTGGTTTGAAAACACAGCTAAAATTTATGAGGAAGCCCTACCTGATGCATTTATTACGATTGTATTTACCCAGATCTTTAAATAAAGCGTTGTTAGGTATATGTATAACGTATGTTCAGTCAGATCATATTTATTTTAATAAATTATTGTATGCTGAATATGTATATGTACTACAGTAATCGCTTTAAAGAACTTAAAACTTAAGCTAATTTACATGGCTGTAATTGCCTCAAACGTTAACGTTAAAAGTTTAAAAAAGGAAAGAAAAACAATCTTTCTGTGCTTTTTCATGCATTATCAATTTGGTGTCAAACATTCAGCATTTTTGTATATACCTTTTTGAAACCATTGTGAACAACGTTATTTGGACTGTCATTTATAACGTCACAATCGCCGCTGCACGCTCACTGACCCTCCATTTAGTACGGCCTCAAATCCAGTTAATATGTTTTCTTATGAACTGTTTGCTTTTATATAGATTATATAGGAACTATAAATGGACTCTATAATTAATTATTTAAATGAATTTATATTTACCTTATCATTCAATTTCTTGTTCAGAATGTGCTGATGGATATTATGACGAGAGCTGCAGCAAACAATGTGGACACTGTCTTAAAGGAGATTGTGACAAGACAAATGGAACTTGCATGAGTGGATGCTCACCAAACTGGCAGGGACCTTTTTGCCAAGGCAAGATCTAATTCTAGTGTTAATTTCTTAACTGATTATAACTGGTATGAGAAGGGTAGTTTCTTTTATTTTTTGCTAAATATCTGTATTCATTCAACTGATAATAAAAAAAAAAAAATGATGTTCACGTTATTATTTATGATGTGCCTATTTTATACTCTCTTCTTTCCTGAAGCAATTTATATAGATTAATTTATCCTCATTAAAAGTCAGGTTAATCTTATTCTGCGTCCACTTAAAACTCAAATTTAAGGAAATAGAAAAAAAACTCAATTGATCAGTTTTCTTACTATAACAGTTTGCAACACGATTGGAATAGTGGCCTTCATCATGCTGTTTTCATTATCATCCCATGAATTCTTTTCAAATCTTGAAAGCAGTCGTGGAAATCGTGATAATTGTAGTCTTTGGAGACCAGGTCTTCCAACAAACTGTTCGGAGTTCGATGGGCACTAAAAGTGTTCTTTTATTAGCTAACCTGTTTTTAAATTCTTATGAAGCAGAAATTATTCGAAAATTCTACATGAGAAGAAGAAAACACTTGTTGTGGCCTTCAATCGACATTGAGATATATGGACGACGTTTAAGCAATTAAAACTAGTCACTTCCATTCATGTGTCGACCTCACATACCCCAGTAAATTCGAAATATAAGGCACCGAAGTGCCACTTCTGTTTCAAACAGGTAGGGGCTCTAAGGGCCAAAATCGGCCCAAATAATATGAATTTTTTAAGTTAGTCCAAAAATGGACTCCACTGATTTTATTTAATATTAGTGTATTCCATAAAAAGCAAATTTCGGGAAGTTGACTACTAAGAGTACCAATGACGTCATATATATGACATAGTCTTGATAATGTTTGGCAAAAATCATCAAAATCTCATACGTTTTGTAAGAAGTTGATCAAATGAAATTCCTCCACAAGCATGCACCAAAATAAAATTTCTTTTACATGTTCCTTATCAAAGTATCTATCAACATTTGAAGTATGGTATTGGTGTATGCCAGCGGAGCATTAAAAAGCCGCCGGTGAATAAAAAGCATCACTGTGTATCCGAGTTATCAATGACCGATTATTATATCAGTAGAATCTACATAAAATATCATTTTGTGGTGTTATTTCATCGTATAGGTTAAAAAAGCCTACTTTCATATACTAATCGAAAAGGTAATAAATTGATAACGATTTACGGCAGGGTGGTTAAAATATACACGGAAATATTGATCCGCTCCTCAGTTTACACGGCTCCGTGTAACCGGCCTTTTATGAAAATAAATGTAAAATGCAAAAAACAATTAAGCCAATCGTAACCAAACCAAATCGAGAATAAGTCAGCTTTAAAAAGTATAGTCTTGTGTTACTATTTTATCATAAAGGAAATGAAATGCTCCTTTAATGATACAAGTATATAGAATGTCCGTTACAGTCATACTACTTACATAGATCTACGAAATTCTACTACAAGTACATGTTGTGACTATTATTCTCACGATAACAACTTAGCATAAAAAAAAAATCTCCATTCAACTTAAGGAGGTTGGATCCTGCCATCAAAAGTAATGAAAATTTTTTATTAAGTATATTTTTAGAATCTACACTCATAGCTTACTTAAAATTCAAAACAAAAAATGGGGGTAAATGCGCTTCTTTTAACGCTACAGAGCATTTAGTCTGACCTTTTTCCTCTGAAAATACGTTTTTACACATAAATCAATTTTAAAAGTCCACCCCCCCCCCCAATATTTTGTACTCAAATAAATTATGGGAACAAACACAGTCTTATTTCATTTTGAGGAAACACATTTAAATTTGTGACAACAAAAAATTTTCAAATTACTTCGCATGTTCAATTATTTGACCTTTTTGCACTCAAAAGATATCATTTTTCTGGCATTAAGAATTTAACAAGCAATAAAATCCTTTGAAAGTAATGACATTTTACTGAATTTAAGAAGAATGGTTAAAAGTATCTTATATATTCAGGAAAGAAAATCAAAAGTTGGTGTCTTTGAGGTTATTATTATTTTTTTTTTAGATATTATTAAAATAGTGCTAAATTCAAGCTTAAATTAGGGCTATTTTTTTCTTGATTTTCACAATATATTTGCTATATGTATCAAACATGATAATTGAATTCATGAAAATTTATTTGAAATATAATCTAGGACCAGCATGAAACAGTTCCCGGGACTCTATGTGCAGGCTGCATGGAAAAATAAGAATCCAAACTTAGCATACTTTAAATACTTCGAAAGTGAAATAATGATTTTTTTTTCTTCTAAAAAACCTTCCGCTACAAAGTATAGTTCCTCACTTAATGCTTTTGGTATGGAATTTAATCATGGAGTTTTAACTGAATTTAGTTTAATTAGTATTGTAGAATCCACATTTATTATAAGAACTAAAACATTATGCAGAATTTTTTAAATATAGGTTAAAACCAAAATCTGCTCAAAAGCTCAGGAGCGAACCTCGTGAAGTTACATGTAATCAGAAAAATCCACTAATTCAACTGACTGAATTTGATATACAAGTGTATGTTTTATTTTCTCTAGTTTCAAAAATCATTAATGTATTCGATGCACTATTGTAAGAGTTTGTTCTCCTGACATGGTACTATTTCCGCTAGGGTAGTCCTCTATGCACGTTGAAGGAATATACAATTTTTATGTCATTGAATTTAGAGACTCCTCCACCGATAAGGACCAAGTCGAATTACATGTACATGGAATACTTTTTATGCTGTATTCTTGTCACCTGGGAGAAATGTAACACCTCATAGACCAGAACAAATGTTTTCAGCGATTACATCATCAAAATAAACATTTTCAATTATTTTTACGTTAAATTCTGGAAAATAGGGTGGTCAGTTGTCCGATTTTCTCTCACTTCCTCTGTCTCTCCTTCTCTCGTTTCCATTTTGAATAGATAAATGAACTATAAGAATTTACAAAAGGGAATCGACTATATACGTATAGTTTGTAATTATATATATGTAGTAAATTTAGGCCCTGAAATAATATAGTTTCGGAAAAAAAAGCGGCTAGGAAACAAAGAACGTCTTCTTCCCAGATCGTAGCTGCTATAGGCAGTTCGCTACGACTACTAGTATCTAAAATAAAGGTCATTTTCTAGTTTTCCTACGACCTTGGTCTACATTTGGTATTATTTTGTTTAATTTGGTTTCATTTTGTTACATGTAGGTTTCGTTTCAGTTTGTTTTGTTTGGATTCGTTCTGTTTCGGTTCAGTTTTGTTTTGCATTTACAGATATCCAAAATAAATTAATTGCCTCTTTAAAATGTAAGCGTTGCTTATTAATGGTCCTCAAATTATTTAGCGACAATTTAGCCGTATCCAGAAAACAGGAGTAATTAACATATCAGGCACGTAACATATCGATTTCTTTTCCGTGGAGGGGGGCTTTGAATTTAATTTTTCACACTATATAAGGGCGCGAATATTTATATTGGTAATAAATAATCTTTACACTTGGAAGGAAAGAAATAATTTCAATGGTGTAAATTATCCCCCCCCCCCCCCCAAATAAGGTTTGCGAGTTTGAGAATTTGTCCTTTTTTGTTTTTAATTTTTTTTTTGTTTGCTTGCTTGTTTTTGTTTTTATTTGTTGTTTTTTTTTTTAGTTTTTGTGTTGTTTTGTTTGTTTGTTTATTGCATTTTTTTTTGTTTGATTATTTATTTGATTTTTTTCTTGCCCGGGAAGAAGTAAATAAATAATTTGCTTCTGGTCATCTTGGAAATACATATTCTGCCCTGGGTTGAGGGGAGGGGTTTAGAAAAATCTAAACAAAATTTTCCAGCCTTTTAAATTTTTTTTTGTTTGCTTGCTTGTTTTTGTTTTTATTTGTTGTTTTTTTTTAGTTTTTGTGTTGTTTTGTTTGTTTGTTTATTGCATTTTTTTTTTGTTTGATTATTTATTTGATTTTTTTCTTGCCCGGGAAGAAGTAAATAAATAATTTGCTTCTGGTCATCTTGGAAATACATATTCTGCCCTGGGTTGAGGGGAGGGGTTTAGAAAAATCTAAACAAAATTTTCCAGCCTTTTTAAATAAAATAGGTTTCTAAGAAAAATTGTCCCCATCCCGCGTCCTACGAGCCTGCAATACATGTCTGGGTTACGTATACAATGCTGTTTTTCACTGAAAACATACCGAAATAATATCATTAAACTCCTCTAATTTTCATAAATTCATTTATTCACACTGATCAATTGTTAATTATTATTTTAATTAATCACATATTAAAGATACATTATGAAAATTTTCTCTACACATTACATTCAGTGGGCAAACTATTGCCATGAGTATGCATGATAAATAACAAGCCATCTACCCAAATTGTAAATTCATGACCCTCAGCTAAAGATTCGGGACTAAGGGTGTAGCCTAGTAGGTCATATAGAGAAAAAGTGTTTGAAAATCCCCGTCATTTAGACATCTACCAGACAAATTGTTTGCACTCTAATAATTTATGTACTGGAGCAGCTAACACGTTATAAAAAATTTCAAATCCACAGATGCCCAATCTTCCTAAGACAAGGATTTCTGATTAACTCCACTTCACATAAATTATCTTCGAAAATCAAAGGTTTCTGATCCGATCCACATGATTTATCGTTGTGGAGCGAATCAGAAAAGAGCGGATTTAGAGACCCTGCAATTGGAAGTCCAAGGTCTTGGCTAAATTGATCATATATTTTTATTTTTATTAGGGCTGGGCACATATATTCATAGATCATTTATTGAAATATATTATGCGTCAAAGGAGATAAGATAACAATGCTCCTCAATAGAATCCTCACTAAAGTGTTAAAACAACATGAGTTCCAGTTCTTGATGTGGCTAAAATGATCTAAGCAAGAGAAAGATGTGCAAATGATAATAATGTTTCACCGCCTACCTCCTGGAAGATTTTCAGTTGTCATATTTAAATTTTTCTAAATAATTAGAAAAATATGAACTTTCATAAAATTTTACTTA